CATACAGATCGCCCGCTCATATTGTATATATTACTTGCACTTCTCATATTTTTTAGGATGTATCTATGAACATTTTTATGAAGAAAATGACAATTCTAGCTTGAAAGTGGTGTCACTGGACAAAGTACGATTTGGTTCTTATAAATATCTTGGATATCTTTCCAAATATTGCAGCCTTGAAAGTCAGATTTCATATTTGAATTGCCACGGCGAATGGAAACAGTTCAATGTAAACTCTAGTATGGGCTTTTCTTTTCAAGGACAWATGCATAGCTTGTATGTAAGTATAACTCATGCCAAACATTAAAGACATGATATCAACAAAAATTGAATATACAGAAAAGAAAACTCTAAACCTCAGCACTAGTATGTAAGCATACATCAAATTGAAAAAAACTAAGTCGGACTCAAGAAGGTTGTATCATCAAAGCTAAGAACAAATCGAATCATGGACAACTAGCTAATCATGTGAATAATAATTTTCCATCACTCCAACAATTTCTTTAGTCTGCATTGTGTAATACTGTGATATAACATATTTAACCAGGCAAAAATTATTCAAGTTTCCTAATACCCCAAATCCTCTTTTGTATCATATTTGATGATTTGGCCTTTTTAATTTTGCGCCCAAACAACGTATTTTCAATTGGGTGTATACATACCTTTGGTATACAATGAGTATCGTATGTTTTATTCCATCGTATAGTATCGCGATAAGAATTACTTTAAAAAGTATTGGCCAAAAGTAAATGGACGCATAATAAATCTAAGCCTGAAATGCTCTGCTAATTACTCTGGAGAGAAACAAGGAGGACACTGTGTCCTGTTGAAAGTTAAAGGAAAGCAAAATTGTAAGTAGCAATCATGATGTTTGAAATAGATGAAATAACTTAGCGTAAACGGAGCTCACAATAACAATCCTTTGTCCAAAGGAAAGGATTGGTATATAAAAAAGGAACAATGTGTTTTTTTCAGAATATGGTAAACTATTAACTTTATTAAGCCTTGACTTAATAAGACGTTTATGAGAACTCAGCCAGTTTTAAAAGTACTTTACAGCGTCACTAGTTTTTGGTATTTCTAACTGAAACTGGTGTTAAAGCATCCAGTTACATTTAGTTTTACCAGTTACATTTTTTTTCAACTGAGCTATTGGTGGTCCGAGTAAGAGTAGGCAAGCAAACGGCAATGGAATGCATGAAGGTGCTAATTTTGTATTTTATAATCCATCCATCTCATTGGTTAAAACATTAAAATTTGACATAATTTCAAAAGTAAGCGCATTTTCTAATATTTTATTTAATATCAGTGATTCCGACTTCATAAAAGCTTTCCTTAGCTTTAATATTAATAGCAATTCTATGTGGGGAACATAGCAAATTAGAAGCATTTTTTGGCTATTGTTTTGAGTGCTTATGATTGGACAAAATCTTTTAATACAAAAGAGTTTATTCACATTTTATTTTAAAAATCTGTTACCCATAGGTTGATATTAATCAGTGTGAAAACCAAGACATTCGTATGTGGGGAAGTTGCAATTGCCGCAGAACAATAGAGAGTTGCCTGCTTTTTGCGCGCATTGTTACTTAAAATGCAGCTATTCTCCTATGTTTGGTGTGCCTCCAAAAGTAGATATGCCGGCAAACTAAAAATGTTTTTCAGTTTCTATCAAATCATCAAAGGTTGTAAGTAATGTTTACAACATGAGCGGCCGTGTTGTATGGGATTTTGTAAAACTCATGAATAATTAATGAGGAAAACACAATAGAAATCACAACCGTGAAGAGTGTTGTGAATAATGTTTACAACATGAGCGGCCGTGTTGTATGGGATTTTACAATCTTGAGCCGAAGGCGAGAGATTGTAAAGCCCATAAAACACGGACGCGAATGTTGTAAATGACTTNTTAAAACTAATAATTCGTTACTACTTTAAAGGCAAAGACACATTGCTAACTATTTCAACTTCAACTACTACCATAAAATTGGCTCAAACATCTCCATCAGCCTCTTTCACAACTTCTTCCACAACCTCCTCCACAGCCTTTTCAGCAACCTCTTCTACAACTGCCACGAAGCTGGTTCAAACGTCTTCCACAACCTCTCAAACAACCTTATCATCGTCCTTCAACAAACAAACAACATTGGGTCAAACATCAGCCTTTTCAACAACCTCTTCAGCAACCTCTTCAACAACTGCCACGAAGCTGGTTCAAACGTCTTCCATAACCTCTTCCACAACCTCTCAAACAGCCTCATCATCGTCCTTTAATAAACAAATCATTACAATGAAATTAGGTGGAATATCTTCAATAACTTCCTACAAAACCTCAAAGTCATCCAATGAACAAACAACCCCAACAGTCACAGCCGGTAAAAAAATAACCACTGTAACGCTCATGAAAACGTCTTCATATGAGTCAACTACTGCATCATATWCCATAATTGATATTTCGTCACCGACTGGACGTGTTACTAAGAACACAAAATCTCAAACGTCTGATGGCGTAAGTGATTTTCAGTTATGTAATGTAATTACAATGWGCTTCTTAAAAATGGGCCACAGGATTGAGATGTTTCATTATACTTACAAAACAAAGCATGTTTTCCCAGTTGTTACTTGTATTATGATTACGTGTTTTATACAGGTCTATACACGTTTTCAGCAKCCAAACTCACCTCAAGAAGAAGAAAGTGCTAATACCAATGACAGTAGTAGTGCTACAATCATTGGAGGAACTGTTGTTGGTGTTATTGCACTAGTCGTCATTATACTGATTGGTGTAATAATAAGAAAAAAGAGGTGAACAATTAAAATAATGTTGAAGTAATCTCAATATATTCAGATATGCACGTCCAACCAATACTTTCCAAATGCTATAGTGGGCAATATAGTCATCTTTTAGTAAGAACGACCAGAATATTAAATATACGCTCTATTATTATCAAAGCTTTCTGTTTGGTCAGAGGCCTATAATAACATCCAAGAAAATAAATGAAAACAGGAGCCAGTGGTTTATTTAATATGATTGCTAATTCTATATCCGTATTTTAGATTTGTGCATTGAAAATTTTAGAAAAAGATTCCCCAAAAATTGAAGATATCGCATAGCTAGTACGATATCGCACTGTCTAGATACTAAACAAAAAAGACACTTTTAATAATAAAAATTTCTATTAAGTTGCACAATATTATTATTTTGCTCGCTAACCCTATATTCTTGCTGTGAATGAAGTCATGGTATTTAGGATGATTTCTATGAAGCAACTTTGCACATTTGTAATTCTCCATACTGATGAGGCAAATTTCATAAATTTTCAAAATATCTTTTTGGTATTTTGTCTTGCCCGTCACATAATTTTCAARGGTCTCGAGACTTAAGCAGTCCCGCATCATTCAAGTCTTATTTGCAGAGCTAAGAGTTGATTCGATCTATATATTTTTACAGATTTTCCCAAGCCAAGAGAGAGTCAACTGTAGCAGGTAATAAACATGCACTATCATGCTATATTTACAGAAGAATATCTACCAATAAAACTATATCACCAATGGAGAGAATATTCCCGCAATTAGATCATTTGTATAACAGGGTATAACAAATGTTTCTATTTCATTTGTTTTATTCAATCTGCTGTGTTATAGAAAATCCTTCATACGATTACGCAATACCAATGAGTCCAGGACGACTGCAATTTCCACACAATGAGTATTCGTACGCTTATGCCGACAATCATCCAGTTGCCGTTAGAGAAAAAAACGGCAGCGGTAAGGCAACATTTTTTAAATTTTTTAAAAATCCTTTTTTTGAATCATGAAGTTAGTTAATGATGATATAATTTATATTTTCAATAGAGTTAGGCTCAAGAGTTGTAAATATCCATAATGGAAACATCGAAGGTTTCTCGGGTTCTCCACCGAACCACAGTGCACCCATTTACGCCAAACCTAACAAGCCACCACGCAAGCGCAATGTTKTCAGCCAAGGAACTCAACGGGCGACAAAGCAAGAGCCCGTTTATGATGTACTAGAAGACCCAAACTCGACTTTGAACACTTCACCAAACACGGATGGGCCAACTTATGATACACTAGAGGATCCAAATTATGCAAAACCTCTGAAAAACGCCTGTGACGTTCTAAGTCAAAAGCACGAAGGAACTAAGACGGAAGATGKCCCTGTTTACGAAGGACACAAAGACCCAAACTCTATTAGTGCTCCGATACACAGCGTACTTGAAGGATCCAATTCCAATGAGCAGCAGCAAGTAAATGATGCCCTTGAGTACAATGACCCCCACATATATGGTTCCCTTGACAGTCCAGACCCTCATATATACGGTGCACTTTATTATCCCACGACAAACGTTTCTTCGGGGTATAACAACGTGCTTTATGGGAGTATTAATGAYACAATAACGTTAGATACACGTCAACTTGGTCAACTTGGTTTGGAGTCCTCTGAACAAGGCTTTTCAAAAAATGTTATGGCAATGAAAAACATGTCTGGAGTCAACTAGCCGCGCAACAGGACTGTGTGTTAGTTAGTTTTGTTTTCGATGTCTCGGATATTATCAAACCTACTATATGAGGTCATTGGTCATGTAGATTTTGGGATTTTTAGTGGAACATACTTTTTTACATTGCGCTTTATAATATACTCTTTCCTTTTTATTTGTAATTGCCCTACATAAAATGTGAATTAAAATGATGATTTTGAATCTGTTAATTATTAATATTTGTGTTTGATTGTGAATGCGATGCATTTATTACCGAATGACAGGATATCCGATTGATATTGAACATATATTTCGGTTGAACTTATGTCAATCAAGTTACTCCAGACCCACACGGTGTTGGTCACAACTCATGTGATTTCAACTGTCCAATCAGATTTCTAGATAAATTGTCAGCCATCACAATCGAAATTTTCTGTATGAAATCAGTACGGCAAACATAACTTTTGAAAATCAACCTTTAAGGAATAATTATAGTGGTGAAATCAAGCAGTGTTCCTTGAAGGCGCTGTCGGGGAGAACGGCGAACGGCGATTGTAGTCAAAAAGAAGATTGCACGACCGAAAGGGGCTACGGTTACACTGTTTTGATGAACACAATTTCACTTATTGGATTCACCTTACATAGAAATGGTGACTAAAAATGGAGCCAATGTTTACTACAAACCATCTTACAGTATAAATCAGTTGTTATTGCCTTTCAACTAGCAAAACTATTCAAACATTAGTGACATTCACCATTTTACCCGACAATCTATTTTGATAGCTATATACAAAACGTTAATTTGCAAAGTATAGTCAATGGTAATTGATGAAGCCTGTTTCAATAATTATAAAAGACAATTCAATAATTGCCATAAATAATCAATACCCATAATGCCTTTGTGTCGCGTACTCTCAATTCTCTACACCACGTTTCATGAATGTTTCCTTTGTTAAGATTGGATTCAATCTACAGATGTGCTAAAGAAAAGCGAGAAGAGGACGATCCTAAAGCAGGTATGACTCATGATTCTAATACAACTAATATTGAGTATAGTTTTTGACAGGAAAAGAAAGAGGACTATGAAAAGTTTGTCAACAATATGTAAATATTGACTTCTGTAAATTCATTTTACAGAAAAAAATTGTCTTTTAAAAGTTTGTAAATTTTATGTAAATTTTGTAAACATCTTATGAATTTTGATCCGTCAAACAATCAATTTAAAAAGTTTGTAAAAGAACATTTTGTCACTGTAAATCGATTAATTTAAATATGCAGACTAATTAATTGATCAACTTTTCMAGTAATTTATAAAAGAGTATTGCATGCGATATCTTTGAAAGCTGCTTTAATTTATAATCTCTCTCTGTGTGTGATAATCCTTTAGATATTCCTTCTTACCATAATGCGGTACCCGTCAATGAACAACTGGAATTGAACRAGTATTCGTACGCCAATACAAACAACTATCCCATTGTCATCGAAGATCAAAATGGCAAAGGTATGCAAAACGTGTTTATTGAAAACCTTTGAAAGAAAAACAATTATTTCTTTMATTAGCCATAATGAAATTACTGGATTGTATTGTAGCAGGTCAAAACCTTGTTAATAGCCATAACAGAAACATCAAAGGTGTCTCGGGTTCTCTACCAAACCAAAAAGCTCGCTTATATGCCYTTGATGATCAAGACCCTAATGTATATGGTTCCCTTGATCTTCCAGATCCTCACCTTCATGGTGCCCTTTATTCGCCGACGTCAAAATCAGCTCCGGCATATAATAATGATATTGATATTTATGACTGYGGCTGGGGAACCATAATTGATGAAGAAGCATACAAAGAACTAAATCAAACTAATCAGCGGTCTTCTGATATATATCAGTCCGTACGCCTTCCATGATTTGCTATGGCCATGAAAAACATGTCTGGAACTACTCATTCCCAGCCTTAGCCGTTAGCCATTAGGAGGGGGACATTGGGGAGTCTCGAACACCGCAACACCGCAAAGAAAAGTACGTCCACACCGCAAAACCGCAAAAAAAAATTGTGTAACACCGTCACCGCAATTTTCAAAGAGTCACGTGATGTACAAAATTTTGAATAACAAATTAAATTTAGGTACATGACCTTTAAAGGCAATTTTAGATAATTTTAGATAAATAGATACATATCTTCGGTTTGTCGTTCGTTTGATACTGACACATTGTTTAAATCATAATCATTACTAGTCAGTATACTTTAAGAATAACGAACTTATGTACCTTGTGTCTTCAAGATAAATATCGGTTGTTGAACCGAACAGCTCTTCCAAACCGCGATGTTCTACCAATTAGAAACGTTGTCGAACTGCCGATTTCCGAGTCAACTTGGATTTGTAGAGTCGTCTTCGTCATCACTGCTTTCATCAAATTGATCCTCTAGATCGCTTTGTTCTTCCTGTGTTCCTTGCTCTTCATGATCAAAAGATATTTGCTCAGAAGTGATGCATTAGTTGCCGCTGATACAATAATTCTGGCAAAGTACCATGCTTTGCCATTGTTGTTTCTTGCCTTACTGTTCGTTGACGAACAGCAGCTCCATTATCTAAGCAGACATTTTTGCTRAATGACCTGAATTGAAAATCAACAAATTCGCAACACCGCAATTTTTCCCGTAACACCGGATATCGCATGTAAAATAAGGTAAACACCGCACATCGCAGGATTTTACAACACCGCATCACCGCAACTTTTTACTTCGTTCATCGCAACACCGCACAAAAAAAAAAGGCCAACATCGCAACACCGCAAACCCCCATGTCCCCCTCTATTAGTATTATTAGTGTCTTGTCATAAGGCAGTATTTGCTAACTTCTAAAATATTCCAGTTTTCAATTATGATGTTTTTGAATAATCAGTATTTGCACTTTGTTGTTAAATTACACCTGAATTCTCTCTAAGTATTAATGGAACAGCCTTAATCATGTTTTTCAAATATTCGATCAAAGGCAAACAATATTAGTTAGTTAACAAAATTTTCAATAGCTGTTCTCTAGAACTCATTATTGCGCAATATTATCCATTTATCTATTGATTTTATCTGGGGATGCAAGCTTCGCAGCTTTCCCCCAACGTATGCATAATGCACAGTTACGCTCCGTATCTACGCAATCACTTTCTGCACTAAGTTTTGCCTCTTACTTGGAATGACACTAAAAACCAAAACCACTATCTTTTACAACTTAATTTTTACTACTTAGGTACTTTTGTATCTACGTATTTAGTGCCAGGAAAAGTAGAGATTTTCCTTTGCAAAGACTTCTGTGTTTACCTAGTAAACAACACATAATGAGTTCTAGCTCTGACAACCAATGGGATATCTCCAATCAGTCATGTGACTATGTCACCGCTGACAAATCTAAGGCTCAAGTCACGTGTAATGGTATTAGACAAAACAACCTGCTGAGCACTTTTAGCTCAGTTTAGTTGTAGTTGTAGTTGTAGTTGTAGTTGTAGCTGTAGCTGTAGCTGTAG